TTAGCCTTTAAAGGTGTCACAATGGGGGTTTCCCATGGACTTGAGTCCACAGGTTCCAAAATGCCTTGCTGGAACAAGGCATTTTGCTCCTTAACTTCACTCAACTCTGCAAACAGGCAGGCAGGCCTTTTATAGTTTTCCAACCCCCAGGCAGTCCAGCCAATAGGAAAGCCCTTTCTTTGCGCCATGCACATGCGCACAAGTCCGGCGCCAGCCAGTCTGGTCCCAGGCACCTTTTGGGTTGCCCGGGACCGTTTGCAACATTTCTGGGCCTGCTGAGTTGCCTCATCAGGCCCAGGACACAACAGTGATAATGAATCTCCTTGAAATATTCCTCTCTTGATATTAACCTCTCCCAGTCTCTCACCATTGAACTGAAACTGTGTCTTCCACTGTGCCATCGATCTTTGCACAAATTTCATGATGTTTCTACTGACTCCTGTTATTTCTAGGCACTTGATTATCCAGTCATGTGGCAGAGAGTCAAATGCCTTTTTGTAATCAATCCATGCCACATTCAGGTTGGTCTTCCTTTTCTTGCAGTTTTCCAAGATCATTTTGTCTATTAGGAGTTGATCTTTTGTTCCTCTGCTACTGGGCGGTTTCCTTTCTGCTCAGGTAGAAAGAGATTGTTTTCAACTAGATGCTGTTGTACTGCATTAGCTACCACACCAGTTAGCAATTTGAAAGTTGTTGGTAAGCAGGTAATTGGCCTGTAGTTGTCTGGTGTTGCCCCTTTTGCTGGATTTTTCATTATTCGGTAGGTTTTCCCAGTTGTTAGCCACTTTTCAATTTCTCCTCCTTGTAGTATATTGTTGAACTGCTTGGCAATGAGTGGGTATATAACAGTTAGATGTTTCAACCAAAACCCATACAGTTCATCTTCACCTGGTGCTGACCAATTTTTGATCTTCCTTGCTTTTTTTTCTACCATTTTTGTTGTTATTACTAGTTCTTTCATTTCAACTTTTGTTTTATTTGTATTCACCTCTTTTAACCAAGCTGCATCCTTGTTGTATTTCTTTGGGTTATCCCATATCTACTTCCAAAACTGCACTGTTTCTTCCTTGTTAGGTACTGACTGATTCATTGCAATTCCTCCATTGATGGATTGGTAGAAACGTTTTTGATTGGATTGAAATTGGAGGTTCTGCCTATAATTTGCAATTTGAGCTTTGTATCTACTGATTTTCTTGGCTATAGCTGTTATTTGCTGCTTTATTATTTCTAGTGCTTCCTTGATCTTTGTTTCTAAGTGGTATTTCTTGATTAGGTATTTTTGGTCTTTTTGTTCTTCAGCTTCTTTTCTTTCATCTGTTCTAGCTTGCTTGCATGTGATCTTAACTTGCTGATCTTATTTTCTAGTCTAACCTTCCATTTTTGTGGTACACTGTTTGTTTTTCTTCTTTGTTGATTTTGCATCCCAGGTATTCAGTTATAACTGCAGCTGTGCTGTACATTAGTTGGTTTGTTTCTTGCAGTGAATTGGTGCTTATACTTGATATTGCAGTGTTTGCATCTTTTAATGCTTGTGCTAGCTGTTTCTTTGGAACAAGCTTCAATGCAGGCAGCCTTATTCTGTTGTTTTTGTGCTGTTCTAGATGCTCAGTTATTCTTTGTTTCAATTCTTTTATTTCTTTAGTTAGAGGGTTTTGTTCTTCCTGAGGAAGAGATGCCTGGTTTCCAAATGAGAACAGTTGTATATCTCTGCTGGATTTCTTCACTGCCAAGTCCCCCTGATTTGCCTCTACATTCTGAATTACTTCTGGCAAGGCTTTGATTTCTTTGCCCTGGGTAAACCTTTGCAATTCATCCAAATCTGTTTCTGTGAATACTTTATTTCATATTATAAATCGGCATTGATCTGCTAGTCTCTGTTCTGTTATTTCTGATTCTGGATGTTGTTCTTTCAAGAACTGGTGCATTCGTTTTAGATATCCTTGTTGGGCTTGATCTGTAATAACAGATCATTATTTCTTTGTTTTCAATCACTGTGTATTTGCGATGGGTAAACATCTTTTCTTCCAGTTCTGCAGCTGCTGTCCCTGGCTGCTCAGCCAACAGTCCTGAGTCCTGTAACCCATTTTTCACCAGATATCCAGGAACTCCAACATTTAGCGTGGACCTTGTTAACCCGGGCAACATCCGAGCCGGTATAGCTTTCTGAAATTTATGTCTCACCATAATTTTTATGAGAGACACTCTTTGGCTGACTCCTCTGATGAGACCTGTCCAGTATGGTTGAACCTCTGGCACAGCTCTCATCTTCCTCAGAGTACACAAGCAGTTGGAACAATTAATCAATGGAACAACCTGCTTCCAGAAGTGGTGAATGCTCCAACACTGGAAGTTTTTAAGAAGAGACTGGACAGCCATTTGTCTGAAATGGTATAGGGTTTCCTGCCTGAGCAGGGGGTTGGACTAGATGACCTCCAAGGTCCCTTCCAACTTTATTATTATTATTATTAAGCCCCACAACCACGTCAAGGTAGTGCCTCACTGGGGAATTATTATTATTATTATTATTATTATTATTATTATTATTATTATTATTATTAAGAACTATAGCTAGTCCTCGATTTATAACAGTTTGTTTAGTGACTGTTCAAAGTTACAATGGCACTGAAAAAAGTTACTTATAACCATTGCAACATCCCTGTGGTCATACAATCAATATTCATATGCTATTTATGACAGTTGCAGTATCCCAGGGTCACACAATCACTTTTTGCAACCTTCTGACAAGCAAAGTTGAAGAAGCCAGAATCGCTTAACCTCCGGGTTGCTAACTTAACAATTGCAGTGATCTACTTAATAACTGTGGCAAGAAAGTTCATAAAATGGGGCAAAACTCACTTAACAAATGTCTTGCCTAGCAACAGACATGTTGGGCCAAATTATGGTCATAAGCTGAGGATTACTTCTATTTCCTCCGAACTGTGCCACATTCCTGAAAACCATGTCATAGAATGGTTTATCAAACCATCCCAAATGCCATTTGCGGGATTATGTTATTTTCAAATGTAGAGTAGAATTGACAAAAAACTCTTTATCAGGAAAATAAAATATCCAGAAAAAAAGGGTGCACAGGTTGCTGATTTGGAGGCCATGACTAAAAAAGTTAACAAGTTGCGAGAGTTTTCAGACTTGCACAATTAGGGCTAACTTATTAATAGATATGCTAGGCTGTAGTAATTCCCTTCATTGCAAAATATGCACTTCGATGGATAGATGGCATATTAGCCCTCTAAGACAGACAAAAGGAGTCCTTGTGCAAATATTTGTTTGCAATTTATCTGCAATTTGCAGTCAACATGCTGACCCTCACATTGTGTGGTATTGGAAGTGTTTATTTATAAAGTATAAACAAGATTATCAGTGAATATGATAAGTCTTGTTCTATAGGTAGTCCTTGACTTATGACCACAATGGAGCCCAAAATTTCTGTTGCTAAGTGAGGCAGTTGTTAAGTGAATTTTGCCCCATTTTATGACTTTTCTTGCCACAGTTGTTAAGTGAATCACTGCAGTTGTTAAGTTAGTAATAGGGTTGTGTAACTGAAACTGCCTTCCCCATGGATTTTGTTTGTCAGAAGATTGCAAAAGTGGGTCACGTGACCCCAGGACAATGCAACCATCGTAAATACATGCCAGTTGCCAAGCATCTGAATGGTGGTAATTGGGGATACTGCAATGGTCCTAAGTGTGAAAAACTGTCACAAGTCACTTTTTTCAGTGCTGTTGCAACTTTGAGCTATCACGAATAGAATAGAATAGAATAGAATAGAATAGAATAGAATAGAATAGAATAGAATAGAATAGAAGGGACCTTGGAGGTCGTTTAGTCCAGCCCCCTACTCAAGCAAAAGAACCTATGCCATTTCAGACAAGTGACTGTCTAGTCTCTTCTTAAAACCCTCCAGTGATGGAGCGCCCACAATTTATAAAGGTAAGCTGTTCTACTGGTTAATTGTACTCACTGTTAGGAAGTTTCTCCTTAATTCCAGGTTGCTTCTCTCTTTGTTCAGTTTCCAACCATTGTTTCTTGACCTGCCCTCTGGTGCTTTGGAGAATAATTTGACCCCCTCTTCTTTGTTGCAGTCCCTCAAATACTGGAATATTGCTATCATGTCACCCCTATTTTTTATTTTCTTTAGATTAGCCAAACCCAATTTCTGCAGCCGTTCTTCATATGTTCAAGTCTCCAGGCCTTTGATCATCTTAGTTGCTCTTCTCTGAACTTTTTCCAAAGTCTCAACATCTTTTTGTAGAATGGTGACAAAACAGGTTGCAGTATTCCAGGTGTGGTTTCACTAAGGTTTTATAAAATGGTACTAATACTTCATGTAATTTTGATTCTATACCTCTGTTTATACAACCCAGGATTGTATCAGCCTTTTTGGCTGTTGCAACAACTGCTGGCTCATATTCAAGTGATCATCCACTAGGACTCCAAGGTCCCTCTCACAGTTACTGTTTTTGAGTCAGGTTTCACCTAATCTGTACTTATACCTTTGGTTTTTCAAGTCTAAATGTAAAACTTTTCTCCACATTAAAATTCATTTTGTTGGATAGGGCCCATTGTTCAAGTTTGTCAAGATCTTTTTGGACCCTGAGCTTGTCTTCTTTCCTGACTTCATCTTTGCATGTTCTGGCTGTCTGCTGATAATCAGCCTTAGTTATGTCTTCCTCTTTCCATTTTTTGTACTTGTCCTTTTTGTCTTTCAGTTTGTCTGAGAGATCTTTGTGCAGCCATGCTGGTTTCTTCTTGAATTTTTGTTTTTCTTTTTCAGTGGTATTGTACTGGACTGGGCTTTTATGGCACATTTTTCAGAGTTTCCCACACTTCTTGAGTTGTTTTCCTCTTTAGAATTTTCATCTTAAATGAACTGTTCATCCTAATGAACTGTTGTAAGTTGAGGACTACCTGTATTTTCTTTCTTTCTCCTTGAGAATAGAGGTAGAAGTAATTTTCCAGTGTTCTCTAATGTCTGTTTCTAGTTATTTGCGGCTCATGGTTTGACCATGTCTGTGGCTGGTGGGAGGCCAAGAAGCGTCACCCAATACTCTATCTCTTTTACGAAGACATGAAAGAGGTGAGAAGCTTTCCTTTCTGTAACAAAGAAACTTGCTGCCAAAAAAAGAGAGTATCATTCAATGATACAGATCAGTCTTTCTCAATGGGGTTCTGTGGAATTTTAAGGTTCTGCAAGAGTTGGTGATTAAAAAAGTAATAAATTTTGTTTCTTGAACTTTATGCAATAGCAGCATTACCAGGAATGGGAATGCTTATGCCCCACAACTTAGCTGCCTGACTGTCACGTTGTTATTGTTGTAACTGGATGATAAATCATGTAATGAAAATTTCACTTTGTTTTTATTATTTTTATGCAATGTTTCCCTGAGGCTTGAAAATAATTTTAAGAATTCTTCCTAGCTAAATGTTTGAGAAAGGCCGACAAAGGTTTTGGATTAAGATGTTCAAACCAACATGGCAAATCTCCTGCCAGTAATCTGATCACATTTTTCCTTCCTGTTAACCATTTCAGCTTTTTCCCTAGGATCCAATTCGGGAAATGCGGAAAATAGCCCAGTTCCTGGAATTAGAGATTCAAGAACCAGTTCTGAATCAGATTTTGGAGCACACCAAGTTTGAGACCATGAAAGGAAACACAATGGCTAATTTTGCTAATGTGTCACCCAGTCTCATGGACCACACCGTGTCACCCTTCCTCAGAAAAGGTGAGGATGGAAACTAGATTGCAACTGACAAGGGGGCAGATGGAGAGAGTGAACAGAGCAATCAAACTTGAGCCTTTCAAAATGCGGCGGGGGTGTGTGTCTCGGCTGGCAACACTGGCAAGGACCTGATGTGATAGCATACATTATGGGAAAGACCTTTGGAGGTGGGGCAAAGAGATGCTGCCTAGGGAATGGTCAAATAAGAGACAGTATAATCTGCAGCTGGACAGTGGGTAGGGCAAGAGCCCCAGGGGGACTCACCCTAATTTCTCAAGCTGTAAAAGAGATGGCAGGAAATTGTACTTTCAGACTTGCAAGATTCTGTCAATGTAGCTTTAAATTAAGTAGAATGAGCTTATCTGGTCTTGTTTCATATCTGTCTACTCTACCTGGTAAGGTTGACACCTGGGGAGGCTTTAGTCCCAAACCCAAGATGAGTGTCAGATTTTGGAAAGGTGATCCTTGCAATGTTGAAATGCAACTGAGAGGTGTGGGAAACAAATAGGAAAGGTGAGCTACTACAAAAAACAAGTTAACTAAATCCTGCTGGGCTAGAATAGTAGAAAAATAGCAGGGGAAACCTGGCAATTGAGTTTGTTTCTCCCCCTCCCCTTCCCTCTGCAGGCATTGTTGGTGACTGGAAGGAGCACTTCACAGTGTCTCAAAGTGAGCAGCTGGACGGCATCTGTAGTCAGTTGCTGGCAGGTAGTGGCCTGACTTTCCGCACAGAGCTGTAAAAGCAGCTCTATCTCCTCCATGCAGCCTTCTCAATCAAGCTTGCTTAAATTATTAATCTTCCTTGCATTTAATAAAATAAGCCATGGGTACCACAAATGATAATCCAAGCTTTACTGTGCATCTCTTTAAAAAAAACTAATTCTTATTCAAAAGCATTTGTCACTGGCAATTCAATTTCCTTTTGCTGAAATTCTCTTAATGGGTTGCTTGGTCTCTGTCTGTCTCTCTCTCTCATTTCCTGTACTGTATGCTAAGCAAAGGATGGTTGTCCAGTTTTTAATTTAAAAACTTCTAATTTTTACTTAAATTTTCTTTTCAATTGCTTAAAACAGCTGCTAGTAGGAAAAGCATTTCAAAAGAAAAGTGGGAGGAGAAGAAAAGAAGGCGAAATAACACTTTAAAAATGTGGTCACTTTTCTGAGATATTTTCCTGATATTTCAATCACATAGGGAAGGGCCAAATATAGCTCTCTTTCATATATTTTATGTGTATTTTATTTACCATTTTTATTTTATTTACTATATGTTTGACTGTTTTTAGATTGTTATGGTGTTTTAGTAGTTGTTATATTATGTGCTACCCAGAATCATGGTTTTGTGAAATGGAAGGCTTGATAAATATGCTAAATAAATAAATAAACAAATAGGTAATTACACGTATATGTGCACACTACTCTCGTACAAGCACAGGACATACTAGTACATACATTCCTTCAGACAGAGATGATAGATGAGGAGATCCAGTAGCAAAAAACTACTACTGTATTGCTTATTCTATAATAGCAGTTTTGCCCAGCTAAATATGATTGCTGCTTCCTCCATGGAAGCTGAAACTGGGAAATATTTATCTCCCTCCCCCGACCACATATCTCTTATCCAGCATGCAGCAAGGAAACAAGTCAAATACATTTGTGTCATTTTGCAAGCACAAGGGAATTTATGTGGACTTAAAAAGATAAAGATGTGCATGAACAGAGTGCTCCCCCTGGTGATTTGTAACTGGCTGGCAAATAATACTCAAGTGTTGTTAATGGTACTACACCTATATGGAGGGAAGTAAGCAGTGGGTGCCACAAGTTTCCGTCTTAGGCCCAGTATCTTCATAAATTACTTAGATGAGGGAATAGAAAGGGACACTAAGCTGGCAGGAATAGCCAATACCCCAGAAGATAAGCTCAGGATCCAAGAAGATCTTGACAGACTTGAACAATAGGTCCTATCCAGTGGTGGGATTCAAATATGTGAACAACCGGTTCTCTGTGTGGATGCCGCTTCCAGAAGTCCATTCTGGGCCTAGGCAACAAAAAATTACCTACCAGTTCTGCCAAACTGGTGAGAACTGGTTGAATCCCACCACTGGTCCTATCCAACAACATGAAATTTAATGTGGAGAAAAAAGGCTTTACACTTAGGCAGGAAAAACCAAAGGTACAAGTAAAGATTAGGCAATACCTGGTTCAAAAACAGTAACTATGAGAGGGACCTTGGAGTCCTATGAGTTGCTGAGGTTGAGAAACATTGCTCTAGAGAAATGAGAAAGTTGCAAAATAACATTAATATATAAGAATTCCTCTGCTGGAGTAGTGTACAGAGATACCCTGCTAAGTAACAGTGTGAAAGAGCAAATTCACCATCAGATTAAGTAGTTATCTGAATCCCTCTTGGGTTCCAGGGGGTTAAAACAGCCCCACTCTCTTCTTATAAGAAAAGGCAGGCACAGCTTCAGAAAAGGCAGGCACAGCCATACTTCTCTGTGTATTAATGATTCAGCTGTGGAGGTGGTTAGCAGCATCAAGTTTCTGAGTGTGCAGCTAATGAGTAGCTTTGCTTGGTCGCTCAACAGTGAGACATTGGTGAAGTGGGCACAGCAGCACCTGCATTTTCTGAGAAAAGCACATCTTCCTTCCCCTGTCCTTACTACTTTGTACATATGGATGATTGAGAGCATCCTGTCATACAGCATCACAGTCTGGTTTGGAAGCATCACTGCTTCAGACAGGAAGGAAGTGCAGGGAGTGGTGAGGATGGCAGAAAAGATCATTGGCAGTTCCCTCCCTTCAATCCAGGACATAGCACATAAGCATTGCTTGAGCAGGGTCCACAATATTGGCTGGGAAGATACACATCCTCTTCACAACCTGTTTTCTTTGTTAAGAGAAGGCAACAGAATTTCATTTTTAATGTGGGCCAGTGTGTTCACAGTAAAAAATGACAATAAAGATTATCTTATCTTATAGATAGTCCTCAACCTATGATCTAAATTGAGCCCAGAATTCTGGTTGTATGTTATTGCATTTATAAATAGAGGCATCATGTAATCAGACCTAATTTTAGGACATTTCTTGCAGCAGGCACTAAATCAGTTTTCCCCAATGAGTGGGTTTTTAGTGGGAACTGGAAGTAAATGCTGGAAACTGGTATAAAAAAAATATTGTAAATCGCAATCACCCTTCTCTCTTAAAATTTTGCCTCAACATGCATATTACTGATTTTTGGCAGGTATCCAGCTTGTTAGCTGGTAGCCAGAAGTGCTGGCACAGATGTTTTTCCTGGAAGCAGTATGTACGCAGAGGAAGTTGAACCTACACCATTTTCATACAGTACATTCACCCAACCTATGGTTTTGGCCCTGCTGCTCTGAAAATGTGGAGAGGGTGAGAGGGTGAGGAATGGGGAGTTGCTTTGGATAGTGAGATGGCTGCCATATCAAATTAATAAATACACAAAATATTGTAAGCATATGTCCAGTGCTGCACCAATTTATTTCTGGGGCATTAAAGCAGCATGTGTCAAGCAGACTTTTGGAAGATTGCTAAATATATGTTGAAAATGCCACTTGTAGCTTCAGTCCTGGAACATCTAAGTTGTGGGGGGTAACCTTAATTCATGGTGGTAGGAGAAGAAGAGAGAAAGGAAAAGAGGGAGAACAACTCCTTTGCTGTTGGGCTTTTGTATTTGGAGTTATTCCTCGGCATGAACTTTGACCTGAGATTCAGTGTGCTCTTTCTTATGGTGGTGGGTTAATCCTATTATATCATAAAGGGCAAATCCTGCTTCCCTGGGGCTGTGGCTGATGGCTATCTCCTATGTTGGATTTTTTGGGGTAAGGGGTTGCTGGTTCTAGGGATCTTTGTCTTTCTAATCCCATCAGCTCTAAGCTCCCTGGCTCCAATCTTTCTGAAAGGATTATCAAATCTGCATTTCTACAGACCTGGTTTCTGCTTGGAGCAGAGAGACTTGGGTTTGCTTTCCTTTGGGGAAATATAATATTCTGTTCTTTTTAATATCCCCCAAAATATTTCCTTCTCTAGGAGTGTGTGGGGTGTGTGTGCTGACTTCCAACAATAATGATCTGGTCAGAGAGACTTGATTAACAACTTTTAAACTGTTAATGCAAAAAGGGGAAGGCACTAATAGAGGCAGCAGAAAAAGATCCCTGCAGTGGCTCCCAAAAGGGGGAGCTTCCAACGTATGGAGATCTAAAGCCAGGGCAAAAGTTCTGTTAGGTGGAAAAGAAATTTATAATGTCCAATATTCTGTGCCAATTCTTTTAAATGTTTGGTGTCACTTTTAGCTTCCAGTCAGGTCTCACATGCCTCCAAAATTCTCCACAGCCATGTTTATCCTCAGTACATAACCAATGCCTGCCCAATTTCAAGGGTTGTTTCCTGTCTTAGCTCTTAGTTTAGTGCATCCAAGTTTTTGTGATTTTCAATTAAGGTTAGACAGTGTGCAAGCCAGGCTATTAATATTTCTTAAGTTGCACACAGTGAGCCATAGGACTCCAACTCTGAGTCCACCAGTGCAACATATTCAGGGCTTGGGTTTGGAGATCTCTTTCCTGCTATCTCCTCAGTGAGGGCATAGGAATTGTAAATCGGATGAGGGGGCTTGGTTCCCTCCCCCTTGGAATTCGCTGGAAGGTATGCATGCAAAGGCCTTAGTGCCACAAAGCAAGAACCAGCCTGGGGAGTTTTACTGAAGGTAGGTGAAGGGGATAGCCTCAGTGTGATTCTGAATGGTGTGTGTGTGTGTGTGTGTGTGTGTGTGTGTGTGCAGCTACTTCTACAAGACATGCAATACAAATATCCTGGACAAAGTTTCCTCCCATCAGACAGAAGTCCAAGGTATTCAGTACTTGCTGTGCCAACCATTCTCAAGTGCGATCCCTCCATGAATCCATGTGGCTACTTAATTACAAGGTAAATGAGGCAAGAAAGAAAACCTTACAATGAGTTTCCGCCCTCCCCCCATAGTTTTTCCAGTTGTCTTCTGAGGCTTCACATGGGGGCCAATGAATCCAAGAGTCCTTCTTTTCTCTGCAGCTTTCACAGGCATCTGGGTGATGTAGGGCTTGGGAAGATCTGTTTCACTCTGGTTACATGGTGACTTTCTAGTGGATGGCTGGATTCAAATCCAATTCTCTGGCTCAAATTAATGGAGGGTCTCCTCTGGAAGCAGCATCTGCGTCAGTGTGCTCTGCTCCCAAGGGTTGTGTAGGGCTGAAAGATATGAGAACAGGGTCCCTTCCCCCCTTTGTGGGTGACTCTCTCAGGAGAGGCAAAGGCATGGAGAACAGAGGATAAGAAATGGAGCAGTGGGGTGGGGGTGGATAGCTTGTAGGCAGGGTTTTGAAAAGACATTAAGGTTAACATTGCAGATGTTAAGTTGGCAGATGAAACCCACTTAAGCACATACAATACGTGCAAGAATGATATTTTTCTGTGAATGAATTTAAAACATTCCCTCCTGATAACTTTGGGCCATTCTTACAAATACAGAGAGGGAAGGACAAAAAAAAAAAAGGAACACAGGTCTTCATCCTGTTTTGCTGGCCAGACAAATTGGGGTGAGGCAATTTTCCTTTCCTTTGCTTATTTTACCGATTTTTTTTCTAACAGAATTTAAAATTCCTTTCTCTTTAGATTATAGACATTTAACAGTTACTTTTACCTCACACACAAAGACTTTGACAAACATGCACACACAAAGACAAGGG